ATCATACCCTTGTCTGTTAACATCTTATCAAAAAGTTAAAGGCCAATAATAAATAATACACAAGGATTTACAGGAAAAAGAACATTATGATGAGATTCACAATGCTTTTATTCCTTGTGTTAACGAAGAAGCATTGAAGCTCTCTAAAATGGATAATCTCATAGCAAATGCATATAGTTGAGTGTGTATCAATCTAGCATGGTATGGTTTTTCGAAAACATTTTTTTATATTCAAAGTGGTCCATGTTGGAATATTTTAATAATATAGTATTATATAAGCATTCCAATAATTATGTGACTAAATATATTTATTTAATTATATTAGCTATTTTATCAAATAAAGTGTCTTAAATAATTATGTGATCAAATAATGTTAAAAGGCTATTTAGATTGTATTTAGAAATTAATTAATTAATTAACTAATTGGGTATGGACTCAAATATGAGTGAATGTCAGGATGACCCATTTGCGAATAATGGGAACCCTAATTAGGCATCACACTATATATAAGTTATGATCCCCAATATACTATACACAAACAAATAATCTCTTATCCCATACGAAGAAAATAAGAACCACAAAAGTCATCAACTTATGAGTTTAGGATTACCGTCAAAAGAATTTTTCTTAATGGATTAGGTATTACTATAATCAATTTATCGATCCTATAATTTTATACATGCTTGTATGACTATTTTGATTCAGCATAAAATATATGTCATAGTATGTTAAATTGATTTAATTCTAACAGTTCACCATAAAATCCAGTTGGACAATAGGGATGTAAATGGATATCCATGAGGACAGATACTATGATATCCGTATCCGTCCCGTTGGATAAATATGATATCCATATCCGCCCCATATCCACGTAGATATCCATTAAGCGGGTAATCTACGGGTTTTACGGTATCCGTGGATATTTACAGATATCCATGGATAATATTTTTTTTATATAAATTATTTTTTGAAAAACAACATTTTTAACTTCTTTTAAAGACACATAAAGTTATTATCACATAATATCCATACAATTCGCTATTAATTTAACAATAAAATTTCATCACATTAATTTTATTCTTATTCAATAAAACATAATTAGATCCAAACATAATATACATACATTTTATTTTTAATCAAACAAATAAAAGATATTGTGATTGTGAGTTATGATGGAATAGCGGACGACATAGGAGTAGGAAGGGAGACACTGGTTCGATAGAGGAATGACGATACTAGTTGGTTGGACTGTAAAATTGTTGAAGTGAGGCATGAAATATTAAAGAGTTTAAATATGAAATGACTAACATAATTTAAATGAAATGTGAAAGATTTTTTTCAAATAAAATTTTTAAAAAAACAAAATAAATATAAGAAGATTAATTTTTTTAGAAGATGAAAAGATGAGGTATAATAAACTAATGATATTTAAATGATTTTTATAATTTATTAACGGATATGAATATCCGCGGGCATATATATCATTAAACCCATATTCATATCCATTAACAATGGGTATTTAAATATCCATTTATTTTATCCATGAATATCCATTAAGCTACCTAGTCCATATCCGTGACAGGTTTTATCCGCAGATATACGCGGGTATGGATTTTTTTGTCATCCCTATTGGACACATTATGCGTATCAAATGACTTTCAAAATCACGACAATTTTTTCAAGTTTATTTGAAAGCAGGATGTCCTATACCTCGAACATCCCCTAACTGGACATCTCACTCCATAAAAAAGTTGGAACTTGGACAAATAATTTTTTGGATAGTATGAAAGAATTCATCAAGTAGAACGACATTGAAAAAGAATTAAACCAGAAAAAATCAAAGGGAGAACTACCCGTAGATTTAGGTGGTGATACATTTTTTTATACATTTTAATTTTTATTATACAATGCTTCATGAATGTAATGTTAGTTTTTCCTATTTTCTTGGATGTAGTTAGAATATTTTTTTTTTGTTTTAATGTATATATAACATTATTTATATAAATATTAGAATTACGGGTTTGATGTGTTTGTATGTCATAAAACAAGTATTGTCATTTGGTCTATAGGAATCAGGGTGTATTTAGATATCAATATCCAGATACACCTCTGGGATAATGTGTTGTATATGATAAACGTGAATCCATATTTCAATATTCGGGTACACCCTTGAGACATACCTACTTATGTATGGTTTGCATATGATAAAAATAGAGTGAATTTGAATTTCAATCTCCAGATACACCTCTGGAACAAACTCACTTGTGTCTGCTTCTTATATGATAAAGATGAATCTGGATTTCAATATCCGGACCAACCCCCCTGAGACAATATTGCATTCGTATGGTCCATAATCAGGGACGAATCTAAAAATTTTTGCTAATGGGGGCAAATATTATTCTATTATAATGATACAATAAATATTTAAAAAACGCAATTAAATTCTTAACCATTCAAATATTGAAATGGCAACATTATTATTTAAGCGATATAAGAGATACTAATAAAAATTAAGTGTTATTAATGTACATTTTACAAATGTTATTATGAGATTCAAAATTATATGGCTAATCTGTTATTAATACTACAAATTTATATTAAAATATAAAAACTATATTAAATTAACCTATAAATAAAATATAATTTAACAATAGTCATATCAAAATTAAAATTTTCTAAACTTAAAGGTACAACAAAATTAACATTTATTTAATCAAATATATTTAATTTTTATTTAAATTAAAATACATCCAATATACTACTATTTGTTTAATATAAGTAACAAATGTCAAATAAAAATTTAAATAGGAACATGAAAATGGGATGAAACTCCTCTCATTTCATAATATGTGTTTATTTAGTGGGGGCAGAACACTATTTTAATTAGCACATAAGCTACCATGTCACAATGCCTTTGGATCCGTCCCTGTCCATAATGATCTACAACTTTTATAATTGTACTTTATTGTTAACACAAATACTCCAAAATGAAACACTATTGATATACCACATTTATTTATTTCAACAACATGAGACCTCATTTTGAATTTAGGGCAACAGAGAACACATCTCTTATATATTTATTCAAACTAGAGAATCTCTTACACTACACTAAAAATAAAAAAGAGGCTAAGATAGAGTGTTATTCACCAACAATTGATAATTAAGAAAATATTAAGTTTAATAAATTTGTGTTGTAGACAAATACATATGTAAGTGTTACGTGAATTACTTTTTATCACTACGCAACTAAGAATTTAATCGAGGTGGATGTGACACTTGTAAGATTAACTAATGATATTCTAAAGATGATGAAACGTCACGAACTATTTGCTGGTGATGAAATGTCAAGTTAATGTTATGTTATATCTAAGTTATGTTAATGTTTTAAATTTATGTTAAGTTATGTTATGTATTATGTGTAGGTGATACCAAATGAGTGAATCTGAATTTCAATATTCGGATAAATCCATGAGATTATATTATTGGATGTGTATTATGTGCAAACACAATAACAAATAAGTGAATCTGAATTTTAATATCCGAACAAACCTCAAGACTGTATTATATGTGTATTACGTGATACCATAGGAGTGGATCCTAATTTTAATCTCTAAACATATTCTTTACTTACCTTTGATAGGGTTCTGATAATGAGGGAGTAATGTTGGGTCCATATAAATTTCAAAATTCGGATGGTGCAAAAGAAATATTTTTGAATTTTCACAAAAATTGGTGAGTAATGGTTTGCAATTTAGTGAATAATTAATTATAAATATGTATTACATTTAATACATAATTTTTAAATATTTTTTTTATATTTATTTATTAACTTAGTGTCCCAAAAGCACAAATTAACTTTATCATATTTTGGATAATGCTATGATTCAGGTTAAAAAATTCACAAATAAAAAATTTTAACTAAAAAATAATATAATCTTTAATTATAAATTTATATTAAATTCAATACATAATTTTTAATTTTTTTACTATATTTATCTCTTATCTTAATGTCCCAAAGGCATAAATATTACCTATATTTTGAGTAATACTAAATTGTGTTTTTTTGGGCACATGTTAACAAAATTCACAAATAAAAAATTTATATTAAAAAATAATAAAACTATTAATGATAAATTTGTATTAAATTTAATATAAAATAATTTGTAAAATTTTTTTATTATATTTTTCTACTAAATTGTGTTTTTTGGACAGATGTTAGCAAAATTGACAAATAAAAAATTCATATTAAAAAATAATAAAACTATTAATGATAAATTTGTATTAAATTTAATATAAAATAATTTATAAATTTTTTTATTATATTTATCTCTTAACTTAGTGTCCCAAAGACACAAATTAAAATTACTGATATTTTGAATAATACTAACTTATCTTCTTGAGATATATGTTAAAAAATTTACAAATAAAAAATTGGTATTAAAAAAACCATAAAATCATTAATTATAAAAGAAAGTATTAAGAGATTATGCGATAAGATTCCATGTGATTAAAGTGGTGAACCATTCAACACATTTGTGAACGTTGGAGTAATTTATTCTTATAAATAAAATACTCAATTTGAACGGAATAAAACTCGTTGATGTACGCTAATTATTAGGTTTAAGATAACGACAATGATTGTATTTATCTTTAAAGATAATCATACTACGACACTCAACAAAATTTAAATAGTAAAAATTAAACAATATCACCCTTCAATTCAACCCCCATAGATAAAAAAAATAAAAAATAATAAAGGATATGTTTGACTTTTCTCATATAAATCCCAAAACAGACTCACTAAGAAAAAGGTGAATTGAACCAATCGAACAAATACACAGAGTTTTCTGCTAGCGTGAGTTCAAACATCTTCATAGCGTGAGCTCATTCCTTTACGACACCGTTTCGTCCTTCTTCCTCAACTATAACACAAACAGTGAAAACCGAAATTGCATGTATTTAACCCTTTCTTTCGCTTCCTCCTCAATTTCGCGAAAATGTGGGGATTTGGTGGTAGATATTATTGGGGGAGAAAGGTGGATTTTGAGAAAGCGAATGGGATTGTTGTGGTGTTCGCATGGATGTCAAGTGAGGAGAAGCACTTGATGAGATATGTGGATCTTTACGCTTCTTTTGGATGGAATTCAATCGTTTGCCACTCTCAATTTCTCAATATGTGAGTTTGTTTTTAACCTATGATTTTGATATTGATCATGATTTTTGTTGTTGTAAACAATAAGAGTTAATAAAAGTTTGATTATAGGTTGATGGTGCTCTCACAACAACTACCAATTTGATACCGAATTCGTAGTATAGTGTTTTTGAAACTGTTGCATAGATGATTAGTTTTGATAATTAGTTTTTCAATTGTAATAGTAAATGAATGTGACTTCTATTAGTTCATTTTCAAATAAATTAGGGAAGAGTAAAATTATTATAAACTAAACTGAAACTAATGACTTCCGTAGCCCCGACACCTCTGAAAAAAAAGCAGTTAGTGCATGTGTCCAACACTTCACTTTTTCAAATTATTACCAGTGTTGGTGTCGTGTTTCCGGTATCAGTACTTCATAGTAGATGACTATTTTACAACTGTCTTGTATAGCAATTGGATTCTCTTCCTTGATGTTATAAGATTCAATCCTTACCACTAAGTTAACACCTTCATAGTAAGAAAACTCAAAACTCCAAATGAATGAATAATCAACCTAAGCCACTATGCATAGTGTAGTCTTGCTGTGTTTGCTTTGTATGGGATTGAGGACTAGATAACAACAATAGCAAGAGGGTGCGTGGTGCGTGGTACTTTGGTACATAGAATGTCGTGGAGTTAGAAACAACTCTAAATCAAAATACGAAGCATGGACTTACTATCACTACTAATGCTTTGTTCTTAATAATGGGTGCTAAATGGACATTTTATGCCAAAAGATTTCAAAGCAGAAGAGAATTGGTGAATAGCATTACTCATATATCTGTTAGTACCTGACATTTTGGTTTACTGGCACAATTGATGGTTGAACTTGAAGCATGATCATAATTTTATGCATAGAAAAAAGGAGACAGGGGAGGGAGTCTTTCCAGGTTGTTCTTTTTATGTTTGCTGAAAGAATTATCATGCATTAGCTTCATGAGGTATGATTAGTAGTGGACCAGTACTTGTACCATGCCTTCTAGGATTTTGAAGTAGACAACTTGCAGATGATTAAGGAATCATCCATATTGTGGTTCTCTGCACATCTCAATGTATGTTAGATAACTATGGGCAGAAATGAGTCACACTAGCCTACTCTAATTCTAACCTTAAAATATGGCTGGCTTATTTACTTCATAGACCTTTTTAAAAGGCTTGATCTGATCTTTTGAAAAGTGTACTTTGTAGTAAGACCTTGCCTATCTCCAAATAGGGCATGAGGCCAATGTCTTTTTGTCTTCAGGACAATGATAATAATATTATCATATTATGCACATTAATTCAAATAAGGTGGCCCATCAATCTCGAAACACATTTTACAAAATTTAAAGCCTAACATTTTTAGCTAAATTTGCTTCTTAGAAATCCTTGGCCAATACAATTATACAAGTTAGTCATAGGATCCAACAAGTCGCCTGCCTATTCATCCCTATGGGTAATGATTTTAGCTTTTATATTATTTGCAGGTTCTTCCCTGATAAAGTGACAACTCTCGCTGTTGATATTCTAAATGAACTCATTGAGGTAATTTTACTGCAGTCTGTCTATTTTTGTAGGTTAGTCGTCAGCAATGAATTCCAGTCAGGTAAAAAAAATTATTTTCCTTGCACACTTAAGTGGTCTATGGTCCTGTTTTAGGATTTTACACTAAATGAGTCGGATGAGATAAGAAATATATATGTAGCATTTATTCTTGTTTCATTATATTGATTAGAACATGTCTAAAGTAGTATGAAAAATGAAGTATTAGAGTATAGCTAGTACAGCTAGGTTAAGTTATTACTATATATTAACCGGTCACTTTTGAACCAGCACATTTTATTGCTCATTTAGGTATTTAATTACAAGTCAATATAAAGCTATATTTTATCTCAGTAGATAATTTTGCAATTTTTTCATAATGCTCCTCTCTTAAATTATCTCAGTCATCTAAAGTTTCCTTGGCATCTTAAACTCTATTATGAAATAATCTAACTGTTAAATTTTAATTTGCTGCTCAATTTGTAATTTTTTGTTATTTTAGTAAAAGAATTACCCATATGAACAAGCTTACAAATACTGCAGTTTGTTCATTATGCAGGTGCTGAAAATTAGGCCTTGTCCCATTGTCTTTGCATCTTTTTCGGGTGGTGCAAAAGCTTGTATGTTAAAGGTTCTTCAGGTATTTTGTGGCAGTTCTTTTGTCATTGTTTTCCTTTGTAAGAGCTCTTAAATCTGACAGCTGATTACATTGTTTTCCTTTGATCCAGATAATTAGTGGGAAGTCTGAAACACATAATATGGTATGTTTTCTCTCATCAGCAGGTTATTTAGAGGATGATTGAGTTAACATAGATTGCATAGTTTGTAAACTCATTAATGTCTAAAGTTTAAAACACAGCTCTCGAGTTTAACTCAACTTTTCTCAAATCATGTGTATGTGTGAAATGAGGTATACAGTGTCAAACCCCTAGCTGGCCATCCGTGCTCCATAATTTTATTGATCATTATTTCCCTTTATCAAATATTTTGCTCAAGTTCTTGCAACATGGACTTATGTGTACTGGGCGGTGATATTTTGTCCTGGAACCTTTCCTGTTCACAAAATAAAAAACACTGTTCAAATTTTATCTTTTATTATATTCTTCACCGTCTTAACTTTTTTAACTGCACAGGATGATTACCAGCTTGTTAGAGACTCTATTTCTGGCTATATTTATGATTCCAGTCCAGTTGATTTTACCAGTGATATGGGCGTCCGGTTTATTCTACACCCATCTGTTTTAAAAGTGTCCCATCCACCAAGGTTTGCTTCATGGATTGCCAATGGCATAGCATCGGGTCTTGATTCCCTTTTCCTCAACAGATTTGAATCCCACCGTGCCGAGTATTGGCGAACACTTTACTCCACCACTGTAAGCAGCAAAGAATACACAATTACTTGACTTCTAAATATAATCAACGGATTACCTCCATCTTTTTTCTTAGGTATCCCGTGACATCTTATTAGTTATTATTTTTTGTTCCAGAGTATGCAAGTCCCGTATCTCATTTTTTGTTCAGAAAATGATGATCTCGCTTCTTTCGAAGTTGTTTCAAATTTTTTCCATCGACTAAAAGACCTTGGCGGAGATGTCAAGATGGTAAAGTGGAGTTCCTCTCCTCACGTAGGTCAGTATCTTGACTAGTTCTGCATAATATAGCACATGGATAAGATTATAAAATTCAGCTGATACCGAGTAGCTCTTGCTGTAACTTTGTACTTTTAGATTAACAGCATATATTAAAGCTACGTTCATGATGTGCAACCATGCAAATTATTATGAATAAATGTAATTTCCATGCATGCATGTACAAGGGGAAAAATGCATTTAACTTCACATGAATATGTCAGGTCATTTCCGTTACCATCCTGATGAATACAAAGCTGCTATCAATGAGATCCTTGGCAAGGCAGTCGCAATTTATAGTCACAAGAACAGAAGAATTGAAGACGGGAATCTGGGCATAGAGGGAATAAGAGATGAAATCCCCGATCCGTTTTCCGAGCTGAGGAAGGCAGCAACAACCTCAACTAGTTTCCAGGGTTTTGTTGTTGCTCCAAGTGAGAATTTGTCTTCTAGTTCACTGGAGTATTACGAAGGTAAAGATGTTGGGTCTGTAGCAGATGAGCGAAAAGGAAGTTTTATTCATCTCCCAAGCAATCCAAGCATCAATGCTAATGGGGTTCTCGGCCAAATATTGTTTGACGTTTGTGTTCCCAAGACAGTTGAGGATTGGGATGTTAGATCGAATTCCAAAAATGTGGGAGTATTATCCGGTACTAGGAGACACACTCATTTCAATCCTATAAAATGCATCCGACGGTCAAGGTTGTAACATTGGTGTTGACCCACAAGTTTTGGGTGGATTCGAGAGTCGACTGTTTCTTCAAAAGAATTTTAATATCTCATAGTTCTGGAGATGTAATGTCACAGTACCTGAAATAAGAGGCAGAACGACATGTAAATTCCCTCTCAGCTGTCTTTTTAATTACTGAGTAATGTGATTGAGAAGCTGGCATTTTCCTGCGTGAATTGTACAGATACTTAAACTGAGAAAAATATATTTTACGTTTTGACTGAAATCTGTGTGATAAGAATAATGAGGGGTTGTAAATTCAAATTAAGTTGACAAGCCCTGTTTACTAAGTAGTCTTAACCTTCGCTTCAGAGTTCATCATCAACCTCATTTAGAATATAATGGTTATTTGGTATATGATGAAATAAAATGGAATTCCATTCATTCTTGTAGAATATTTAGTGCACATAATGAAGGGATTGGAGTTATCTCTATTTCTCAAATGTAATGGTAAGTACCATTTAAAAAGAAATAGACACAAACTAGGTAGTGAATCCCATCATTATTATTGTTTTAAACTTAATCAGATAAAGTAGAACAAATAACAATGGCAGTAAAGAAAAACTAAATCTGGAAGAGCAAACTAACAATCAATCTTTAGAAGAGAGGAATAAAGAGTATAGAAGAGTCACAAGGCAATATAGTTTATTTAGTTCAGTCCAAATTGACCTACAAGAGATAGTAACTCTCTTATTCACTATCAATGTGCTTTTACAAGATATAAAAGAGCTATAACAAATAAGATTCAAGAATTTAAGATGAACAAAATTAACATATATATATATATATATATATATATATATATATATATATATATATATATATATATATATATATATATATATATATATATATATATATATATATATATATATATATATATATATATATATATATTTTGTATCTTTTTCCTTTCTTTCATAAATATAATAGAAAAAGGTTACATCATTTTCGTAACGATTCCTTACAATTTGTTTGCCAGCTCAAGAGTCTCACCAAAAAGCTCCCAACATAAATTTTTTACCACAACCTTGAGTTTCATCTTTTATGTTTTTCTGATTGTGTTTCAACAATCTTATTTTTGTAATAGAAAAATATAATTCAAATCAGTTTAGAAGTTGATTCAAATCTCCTTAGACAGAACGTTGCAAAAATTGATTTCTATATAGTAATTTGAATCAACATTACTGTTAAGAAGTGTGGTTGGGCCTAACTCAACCCTACAAAACCGGTTGGTAGAGCGAGGATTGCCCCCACTTATAAACACATGTTCATGTCATATATTGTCCGATGTGAGACTCTTAACACACCCCCTCACGCTCAGGACTGGACAACTGAAGCGTGGAAATAAATGGTGGGTCTTGATACCATGTTAAGAAGTGTGGTTGTGCCTAACTCAACCCTACAAAACCGGTTGGTAGAGCGAGGATTGCCCCCACTTATAAACACATGTTCATGCCATATATTGTCCGATGTGAGACTCTTAACAATTACAAAAGTCATTAACATTCTAATCTCTATGGTAAAGTTGTCATTTGTATGTTTTTCTTCACAAAAATCATATCGAAGTGTTTGAATTTGTTTCACATTTGTTTGAGATAGTTGGATTGCAGCTAACTAACTGTTTAGACAGTGTTTCTATCTGAATTGATAAGGTTGTGATCGAATAAATTACATAAATGTCTTTTTGCTTCATCACTCTTTCACTTTAGTGATACTTATTATGACACACGTTCGTTCACAAATATTTTCAACTCTTCATCAATCTTTGATCTCAATGTACCTCCAATTGAGACATTGAAAAACATTTTCATTTGTGTTTTCAACCTGTCGATGAAGTGTGTCATCTGTTCTATAGGACTCATATTATTTGTTAGTTTCATGGTTCTATGATATAGAATTATCCAAAATGATTGCCTAAATTTTGGTAAAACATGATCTTGCACTGATGATAAGGAGGATGTTATAACATCTCCATTTGCTGTGGTGAAAGAACTGCTGTGGAGTGTTTTAATGTGAATGTCATGCTGAATATCGTGACATCCATCACAACATCCATCTGCTGTCATGACAGAACTACTGTCATGTGTGAGAAACAGCTGGAGTAGTGGTGTAGCAGGGGCTGATGACTCATGACATTGCTACTGGTGCAGCAGGAGCTAGCAGGAGCTGATGACAAAACTACTGTTATGGATGTCATGGATGCAGAAGGAGCTAGCAGGAGTTGATGACAAAACTGCTGTCATGGATGTCATACTGAGTATCACTGCTGCTATGTGTTAGCAATAGCCACAACAGGTTGAGTTGTGATAAGCTTCTCACAGGTGGTGAGTGAGGTGTGCTGTCATGTGTTTTAAGCAGGACATAGCTGCATGACAACAGAAGGAGCTGTTAGTGTATATCACTTGACAGAAGTGCCTTGATTATTCCTCATCAGTATGTGCAGGCCAAAGAGAATTAGTAGGAACAAAGTGCAGATTTAGTTGGGGTTCATAAAAAGGATCTTTGAGACTTTTTAGGAAACTATAATATGCTTGTTTCTACTGTCATGAAGAAGATTCAGCAGAAGTGTGCAGCAGAGCAAGCTGGTCAGCTAAGAGTGAGCAAAAGCTGAATGTCATACTGAATATCATGACATTGATCGTATGACATCAGACGGGTTGGGTTTGTTTTTCTGTTATGATACCTAATAGATCTCAAGCTAAATTTCAGGAAACCTGTTATGACTTCTTAGTTATCTCAGACGAGATTCTAGGCAGTATCATGACCTAATTTGACAGCACCTTGATCAGTGGAAATTAGGTTTACTTTGTTAAACCTAATGTTTGTTATTTTGGAGCAGCCCAAATCCAATCTGCACTACTATAAAAGGAGGAGCATAAGCAGAGGAAAGTAAGCACTCACACCAAGAAAAACCAGAGTGTAAAATAAAGGTCTAGGGTTTAAGAGTCCCTTGTGTGTAAGTCACTCTTTGTATCTTTTGATACATTGAGGTAGACATATTTGTAAGTGAAGAAGGCTAGTCTTCACGTGTAAGGTTTGTTTAGAAATACTTGTAATCCAAACTATTGTCAGGTTGATGATTGCATTGGTTAGGTAGATTCTAGGTTGTGTCTCACTCAAAGTTGTGAAGCAAGAGTGTGTGTCCCTTGATCAAAGCTTTGAAGCAAGATCAAGGTGTGTATGAAGTGTCTTTTCATACTGTTTTTGTAATTGTTTGATATCACTGTTGTGTGATTGAGGGGAAGTGAGTGGGTATACTCAGGTACTAGAGTGTCTCTAGGCTGAAGTGTCATTGGATAGAGATTAAGTGAGAAGTGCAAACTGGAGGTTTGACTTTGAATTGATTCTACTAATAGTGAATTTCCTCCCTGGCTTGGTAGCCCCCAGATGTAGGTGTTGTTGATACCGAACTGGGTGAACAATTACTGTGTTATTTTTCTTTCTGCATTTACAATTCGGTACTTTAAATGGTTAGATAAATAGTATGACAGACTGCAGATGTCACAATAGAGGTCGTGACATTGGTCATGACATTGAGACAATTTAAAGAAATTTAAATTAGCCATGGTCTGTCCTCATCCTTGTTGAGCAGAGATCAATGTTCTTGGAACACATGTGATCTGCATACCAGAATTTCATTATTACTCTGATACATTCGGAGTAACAATTTGAATCTTTCACATGCATCTGATAATGATTCACACCCTTCTTACGCAAAGTTGGAAATTTTAGCTTTTTTCTTCTAAAATTGAGCATTTGAGCTCTTTAGAAACTTGTCTTCTAGCTCTTTTCAGATTTGAATGGTACCATTTAAGATGCATTGCAACCAATCCTTTGCGCGACCTATAAAGGAAAACCAAATAAACGTAACTTTACCTGATCGTCGGTGATATCACCACATGGCTTACACATTGAGCATGTAGTTTTCGCGCAAACACTCGTAAAATTTTGCGAGATGCTGCCAAGAATCTCTAATTGCTTGCCTGTCGTACGGGTTCTCCTTCAAACCTGTAAGTACAAAAAAATTTATGTCAAAGGTTACCTACCACATTAGCTGGCTGAAATCCTAAAGATATCTGCCCCAAATCAGTTCTTCTGCAATAGTCCTTCAACGTTTGATGTAGTGGAATGACAATCTCTACTATTTTCTTTTTTACTTCTTCGGAAACTTGTAGTGCTTCTCTTTTCGCCCTGTTGATTGCACGCATTATTCTTTCAATCTCTGACTCGAACGGTATCAGCGTCGAATCAGTACCTCGCATAAACAAACAAATAGTAACTCAGTAGCACCGCACCAACAGAACGGAATAACAATAGAGATAAAATAAAATAACTCAAAATAAAAAAAATTAAAATTCAAAATTGAGAACTAAAAAATTGCAAAAAATAAAACTAAAAGCATCACACTAAATTATTTTGTTGAAATCAACAATCTCCGATAACGATGTACAAAATTTAATGAATTTTTGATAAATGTACCGATAGTCTTTTCTCAAACATATTGGAGAATAATTCAAGGTGATGTCTGCAATGCCATATGTCAATTCTTCAAAGATGGTTGGATGCCTCCAAACTACAATGAAAACATCATTATTCTCATTCCAAAGACCAATCATTTTGACACCATAGGAGACTTCACACCGACAGATCTAGCCAACTGTAAGTTCAAAATCATCACCAAAATTATGGTTGATAGACATGCCAAGATCATGCCCTTCTTGGTGTCCAAAGAGCAGAAGGGATTCATACAATGTAGAAGTATTAAATATTGTCTTTGTTTGGCTTATGAAGTGACAAACATCATGGATAAAAAGACTCGTGGTGGTAATATTTCCCTTAAAGTGGACATAATCAAGGCTTTTGACACAATGAACTGAGCCTTTCTAATTCAAGTTCTGAGGAGGTTTAGGTTTAATCAAATTTTTTGTCAATGGATCTCCATAATTCTTGATTCTGCCACGATGTCAGTTGCCCTGAATAGTTCTCTCCAAGGTTTCTTCCCCTGGAAAAGAGGGGTGAGGCAATGAGACCCTTTATCCCCTCTTCTTTTTAGTCTTGCTGAAGATATTCTCAGTAGAAACATTGATAACTTGCTCAACATTGGCAGGTTGATTCCTATGAAAGATACCATGGAGGTCTGCTTTCCTGCTCATATTCTATATGCAAATATATCCTTATCTTCTCCAAAGGTAAATAGTTAAACATAATAGCTTTAAAGGAGTTGTTTTTGGCTTATTCTAGAGCTTCATGTCGGGTCATTAGTTATTCTAAGTCTGCAATTTATCTAGGGATCCATGTCTAATAGGAGAGCCAATCATCTCACTCATATATCTGTTTTCACTAGGGGATCCCTCCCTTTTCACTATTTAGGGATTACAATCTTTAGCGGGAAAGTCAAGAACGTTCATCTCCAACACATTGCAGACAGGGTGATTGCCAAGCTTCTAATTGGAAGGGCTTAACCATCACTTATGCAGGAATAATTTTGTTAGTTAGATCTGTTATTAAAAGCATGTTATATCACTCCATGTTAATATACTTTTGGCCTACATCTCTCTTGAAGATGATTGAGCAGGCCTCCAAAAACTTCATTTGGTCAAGTAATGTCAATTCTAAGAAACTTGTGACTGTTGATTGGAAGAAGTTGTGTCAACCTACAAATCATGGCGGACCTTGGTTGTGGTCTCTAATCATCCTGAAACCTTAATCTTGGTTGGGACATGATCAATAATGATGAGTAGCGGGCCAAAGTAGTGCAGGCCAGGGTTTTGAAAAGACATGGTACTATCAATCACCACATATTCTCAACTTTATGGTATAACATGAAGCCTGGGTACTCCTTACTTAGATCCACAATAAAGTGGATGGTTGGTAATGGACAACATGTTAGGTTTTGGAAGGACCCTTGGTGTGGAATCCCTCTATTGCAGAAATCTAGTTTGTCCACTTTGGAGGAGCAATGCATTGATCTCGACATGATTATTGCTGATGTCTGGCATGATGGAGTCTGGTACATCCCTGATTCTTGGTACTCTTTATTCCCTTTCCTACTGCAGGACTTGGCCCGGGTTATTTCTTCTGGCTCTGATGAGGATAAATTTGTTTAGCCTAATGCCAATGATGGGAGTTTTACCCTCAAGCAGGTTTTCATCACCAAAGACTTCCCTTCCATCAAAGTTGATTGGGCTAAGTGTATCTAGAGCTTGAATATTCCCACATCCAGTTCCTTCTTGGTGTGACGCCTGATGCATTGTAAAGTCCCGACAAATGATATGTTTCAACTCAAATATAGCAACCTAGCATTGATGTGTAGTCTTTGCAACTGTAAGTCTGAATCCCCTTCTCATATATTTTTCAATGTGATTATGCTTCCGAATTTTGGCAATGGCTGGGTACTACTCTCAAGACTTCCATAAGTATTGTTTCTACCAATGACTTTTTGTCCTTATGTAATAAGAGTTTATCTCTTAAAGGAGATCTGGTTTCTAAAGTGGTTATTGTCTCTTCTGTTTCTGCAATTCGGCACTGAGAATACTGCTCGCTATCAAAGTAGAATCTCTTGCATTCAATCTACCATTTCTAGCATTAAAGCCTGAATTATGATGGCAATAAACAACACTAGTCTTCATTCTTCTTCCTCTTTGTTGGACTTTAGGCTTCTCAAATCCTTCAAAATGAACATCCATCCTCCTAAAGCTTTAGTGGTGAAGGAATTCCTTCGGGAACCCACTAGTTTTCCCTGGTTGAAGGGCAATTCTGACGGGCCCCTCAATTCCCAATCTAGTGGTTGTAGGGGTCTGTTTAGATATTACAAATGTAACTTTATTCTTGGATTTGCTGAGCCAGCCTTTATTGCCAACTCCCTACATGATGAGTTCTCTGTTGTGTTAAGAGCTATTGAGATAACCAGAGATAAAACATAGGTTAAGCTATGGATTAAGAGTTATTGTAGTCCAAGCTTTTACAATGGATTCTTTAGTTTTTCTTCATCTTAAAAATAGGTGGGCTAATCGTAAAAATATTATAGTGAACATGTCTTTTGTTATTACTCATATCTACCATAAAAGGGAACTCATATGCAGATTTTTTTACTAGTCTTAGTCGTAATTACTAAATTTCAACTTTTTATTAACTCCATCCCAATAAAAATTAGAAATAATTTTGTAAAAAATAAATTTAGTTTAACCTTTTTATTTAAAATTTCTCGGTTTTGGCCTATTTAAAATTCATGTTTTTTTTCACTATAATTCAATTTAATAATTGTCAGAGGTAAAGGTTTAAGTGAAGAAAAAAATTGTTTTAAGAAAAATTATATAGGCATAATATTTTCCATAGTATAATTTAATTAAATAAATTTAAGTTTAATGATATATTTAATATTTTCCTTTTTTAATATCAAATTAAAATTTCATAATTACTATATAAAGTTTGCCTTTTCGAATATTTTTAGATTAATATTATATGAAAAAAATAAAATGAGTAAGTAAATAATATAGGGAGTGATAATTACAAAATTTTATTATTTAAATTTATAGAATAAAATAAAATATATTTTATTAAATCCTTTAATTTATATTTTTTTGAATACAATAAAAATAAAGTTGATTTATTCAATAAAATTATACAAAATATTTAATAATAAGATGAAATCTTTATTATATTTAACTTTATCCCAATAAACTTTAGTCCATCAATATAATTGAATTTTTTGAAAAAGATAAAAATCAATAATTTAGATGAAATTGGTTGAATATTTTTTTAGAGGGACAATAAGAGTTGAATCTCTGACTGAGAAATATTTTATTCCCATCTTGGGGGAAGATCTCGATGGAGGGGGATAAAGACTTTAGCTACTAGCACTGGTTTTTATTTTTTTTTTGAAACAATGTTGAAGCATTGAACAAAGAAGAAAAGACTCTGAAACTGAAACTTCGAGTTCTAGTAAATGGAGGGTGAAGGAATAAAGAAAATTCTAGTGACCGGTGCTTCCGGTTACCTGGGCGGAAAGCTCTGTCACGCTCTCCACCGTCAAGGTTACTCCGTTAAGGTCCTCGTCAGACGCACCAGCGACCTTTCCGCACTTCCTCCTACTTCCGAAATAGTCTACGGCGACATCACTGACTTTTCCTCACTTCTCTCCGCATTGCCTGACTGCTCCGTCGTCTTCCACCTCGCCGCTATTGTCGAGCCGTGGCTTCCCGATCCATCTAAATTCACCTCCGTAAGATTTTCCCTCATCATAAATTATGTTATTCGGTTAATACAGGGCAATCATTTTTTTTCTTTCAAATTAGGTCAACGTTGAAGGTTTGAAGAATGTGTTGAAGGCACTGAAGCAAACCAAGACGGTGGAGAAACTCATATATACGTCGTCGTTTTTCGCTATCGGACCAACTGACGGAGCTATTGCTGATGAGAATCAAGTACAATAAATCAATACTTGGATTTTCTTTTTGTTTTTCTTATTGATGTCGTGATTGTGATTGATTTTTTGTTTCTCGAAAATTCTAATTCAAAATTTAGGTTCATCATGAGAAATTTTTCTGCACAGAATATGAGAAATCAAAGGTTACCACCGATAAAATTGCTCTTCAAGCTGCTTCAGAGGGAGTGCCAATCACGATTCTTTATCCTGGAGTTATTTATGGACCTGGCAAAGTCACTGCAGGAAATGCTGTTGCAAATATGGTACTATTTCATTTCTTTAGTATGTTTTTGTTCTTTTTATATTAAATTTGAAATTGGATCAGGTAAGACAATAGGATTGTTTGGTTTAGAGTTCTGTAAGGACAGTTCGACAATTCATAATAGGAATATAGGTTTAGGAGTTCTAGTCATGATCATCTGCAGCAGCTGTAACACCATAGTGCAGCAAGACCCTGAGATTGTTAGGTTTAGAGTTCCGAACTATAAGTACAATCATTTCTGTGGTAGCAGCACCATATTGCAACAAGATTTAGAAAATGTTTGGTTTTGAGTTCTGAACTATAAGTACAATCATTTTTGTAGTAGCAGCACCATATTGCAACAAGATTTAGAAAATGTTAGGTTTTGAGTTTGGAACTCTTTGTATAACCTTGTCTACAGTTGCAGTGCCATATTGCAGCTAGATTTAGAGAATATTAAGTTTAGAGTTTGGAACTCTTAATACAATCGTCTCTACACCTTTAGAGCCATATTGCAGCGCATCAGCTGAAGATTTTCAATTTTTTAAACATCTTATTGTAAGTATGGAATATTTGATTTTTGTTTCTTTATTTGTCAGCTGGTAGAACGATTTAATGGTCGATTGCCGGGTTACGTTGGCAGTGGAAATGATAAATTTTCGTTCAGTCATGTTGATGATGTGGTAGAGGGGCACATTGCAGCTATGAAAAAGGGGAAAATTGGGAAGAGGTATCTATTGACAGGTGAAAATGCATCGTTTAATCAAGTTTTTGATTTGGCTGCTTTGATCACTAATACTAGAAAACCAATGTTTCGTATCCCTTTGTGGGTGATTGAAGCATATGGGTGGTTCTCAGTGTTGCTCTCTCGAATCACTGGAAAGTTACCTATCATCAGTCCACCGGTAAGCTCCCTATAGAGTTTTCATATTTATCTATGAAACACACATGACAACTGAACACACATTTGATAGAAAGTGTCTGTGTTACAAAGATTTTCATGCATCCAATCATATACATATCTTATTCTTATCAGAAATTGTTTGGCTGACAAATTTATCTGAGTTAAAATTGCTGTAGATCAAATTCCAAAACAAATAAAAAAATTCTTCCTAGGTTTCATGAATATCCTTTCTAATGACGTTATTAAAATAAAAGTTAATAAACAGATTCACTATCAATTTGATTTCATAACATGACAAACCAAGTGATAGTTTTTAAACAAAAATGAAGTCCTTGTTCTCATTTGTGTGCTTTGACAATGAATCAGACGGTGTATTGTTTAAGACATCAGTGGGAGTATTCATGCGAGAAAGCTATAATGGAGCTAGATTATAAACCCAGAAGCCTTAGAGAAGGGCTTGCGGAGGTACTACTCTGGTTGAAGAACTTGGGATTAATAAGATATTAGTGTAATATTATTCTACTACCAGTACTTCTTCTAAGTGTATCACTTTTAACCAGATCAATAACATAGCAACAGAGAAAACAATATCTGAGGCATCAACATTTTTTTTGTCTTTGTTCAGATGTGTTGTGATTGAAAAAGATTTAAAAAATTCCATTTGGTGTCTCTTTGAGTTCATTGAGTTGGGTAAAACATATAATTTCTTTCTTTTTACTTTATTTAGGTTTAATTGAAATTACGGCCATTCTATTTTTTTTTTTTGGTTTTGATCCCTATTCTATATCCAAATTCTTCCCCCTCTTCTACAAACTCAGTTTCTAAAAAAACAACAGTGGTAGTGAAATTGTTACTGATGGGTCTAGAATGATAAATACGAATACATTTTTATTTATGATAAGATTTTGTTTCATATTTTGATTTTAGAGGCTTTGAGTTTTTAATTTAGATTTTAGATTTTAATTTAAATTTTGAGTTTGTTGAGAGATGAAAGTTTCAATTTGAGTTTTACGATTTTTTTTTGTTTTTTATTTTTTATTTTATTTTTTTATAAAATTTGAGTTTGTTGGAGAGGATGAAGATTTTGAGTGGATGGGTGAAGATGTTGATTTTTTTTAAAAATTTAATTTAATTTTGTTTTTATTTAAATAGAATAATTAATTTTGTTTTATTAAATATGGTAAATGTGTCAATAACACATCATTGGGCTCAAATTATAAGGGACTAAAATTAAAGGGAAATAAATAATTAAATCTTTAATTTAATTAAAAATATTGTTAGCTTGGAGATTTACAATTTAAGGAAAAAAGTAAGTGATATGTCTATAAGTTTTGAATGAGCCTATTGAAGGTGAAGAAAGATAGAAAATTCAATGAAGAAGAGAGAAAATTGGAGAAACTTTTCATTGAATTTAGTTTATCAGTTAGTTATAAGTTGCTAGATTCTATAATTATTCCTAACAACTTTTTGCAATTCAATAACCAATCATAAAGGTTTTGAGACGCTGTATATGGTGTTACACTGTATATGGTGCAGCTCATAAATGGTGCAATTTTCGTGACTTGTGCTCTAAGTTTGATCATGGATAGTTTTAATATCCTCCTTCAAGTTTAATGTGGTATATGTCATGCATGTTAAGTTTAGATATGAAAGAATTAAAGTTTTTTTTGGTGGCAAAGATTTGGTAAAGAAGTCAGCAACTTAAATTTGTGATTTAATAGGAAGCAATTTGAAGGTGCCTTGCATAAGTTTTTCTCGTGCAAAGTGGCAATCAATCTCAAGGTGCTTTGTGTGTTTGTAGAATATTGGATTAGTTGCAATGTGAATGGCACTCCAGTTGTCACAATAGATCACAGACGATTGACTGCATTGAGAATCTAAGCCACATAGTAAGTAAACCAGTCATTGGACTTCATAACTAGCAAAAGATAACGCTCGACATTCTGCTTCTGATGTGCTCCTCAAAATCGTTTGTTGTTTTTTTGCTCTCCAAGAAATCTATGATGATCTAATGAAAAAACAATTACTTGACCTTGACCTTCTAGTGTCAATGCACGCTGCCTAATCTGCATATGTGAAGTCAGGTATTTGAGGGTTAGAATTTCTTCTAAATACAGTACCACTTCCAAGTGATCCTTTGAGGTATTTCACAACTTGACATGTGTTGTTGCAAAGTTGATATCGAGTCTGGTAGTTGTTAAGTATAGCATTTTGCCTACTAGTCTCCTATATTTAAGTATGTCTTCATATAGTGCAAATGAATCTTGATGTAGCTTCACACATGGATCAAAAGGAGTTTTGGTAGGTTTACAACCAAGGAGACTTGTGTCTTTTAAGAGATCCAAGCAGTACTTCCTTTGGCATATGTCGATTCTAACCTTAGATTGTGCAACTCTTATGCCCAAGAAATTTTGAGCATTCCAAGATCCTTGATTTTAAACTCATCATCAAGTGTAGATTTAACTCTTTCAATTTTTCCAAATTGTTGCCAGCTAGAATTACATCATCCACATACACTAAAAGTGTTGTGAAATAAGTTCCTTTGTGGAGAATGAACGATTATGATCAGAAGTGGATTGTTTATATCCTTGAGTGATTAGGAAACTTGTTAACCTCTCATACCATTTTCTACTGGTCTATTTCAATTCATAGCGTGATTTTAGTAGTTTGCACACTTGATTTTGTTTGGGACTTGTAACACCTTGAGGAACTGGCATATACACGTTTTCACATAAGTCTCCATGCAAGAAGGCATTGTTTATATCTAATTGATGTAAATGCCAAGAGTTGATGGATGCTAAATCAAGTAGTGTTCTCACAGTGGTGATCTTTGTAATCAGCGAGAAGGTGTCAAAGAAATCAAACTCTTCCACTTAATCATATCCTTTGGATACTAGTCTAGACTTATGTCTCTCAATAGTTCCATCTGATTTATACTTCACTTTATAAACTCATTCGCTACCAATAGGTTTAACATTTGGTGGTGGATATACAAAAACCCAGGTCTTGTTGAGTTTCAAGGCATCCAGTTCAGAATTAACGACCTTGATTCAACACTCATGTTTGCTAGCTTCCTTGCAACTTGTTAGTTCAATATTGGCAATCACAGAAAGAGCAAAGTGTTGTCGTGAAACAGTACTCAAGGAATGAAAATGCTCAATAATAGGATAAAAAATACCTAAAGATGCAGGATCATTTAATTCCTTTGAGAGACTGCATACATAATTAGATATATGGCTTGGCTTATGAGTGGATCTATTTGATCTTCTCAGGTTTTGTGGTTCAGGTATTTGATTTTCATCAAGGTCGTGAATCTGTGAATGGGTGGATTGGTCATGAATGAATTGATCATCAAGATTATTGGATTGAGGTTGGCTACGGTTGCTGATTGAATCAGGTGTGACTTCTACATCATGGTGTCAGTTATTGTTTGAGTAATATGTCCATTGTGGCAGTTGGTTTTGGTTATGATAAGGTAATATATGGTCATGCTGATGTTTAGGCAATTTTGAATGAAACAATAAGGCTCGACCTACATTCAATATATGATGACGTTTTCTTTCAACCCTCCCATTTTGTTGGAAGGTTTCAACACAACTTGTTTGATGCTAAAAACCTTTGAAAGCATAGAATTCAGGCATGAGGAACTATAGAATTCAGGATTGAGGAACTCGGGTCCATTATCTATCCTAACAGTTTTGACATTGCAATTATGTTGTTTTTCAATCATTAAAATGAACCTTTGAACAAGAGTAGTAACTTTAGACTTAGATTGCCAGAGAATGATCCAAGTAAATAGACTATGGTCATCAAGTGCAGTAATAAAATACTTGTGACCATGAATTGATGGAATAGACAAATGATCCCATATATCAAAGTGCAAAAATTCACAACATTGTGCAACTATGTGATTATTAATTCGAAATGGAAGTTTTTTATGCCTTTCATAGTGACAAATATCACATGCAACATTTGTATCTAAGGTTACAAAAGGAAAATGATGATGTAAAACAAGTAATCTTTTATTGGAAATGTGTCTTAATCTAAAATGTCAAATGACTTGTTCGGGAATAAAAGTAATGTCATGTGGAGCTTGTGAGTGAGATGATGCTATGATGGCTTGAGGTGTGCCTTTTGTAGCAAGGAAATACAGTACCTCTATTAAATCAACTGAACCAATTATCCTCGGGCTTCTCTTTTCCTGAATTAAACCTTTTTCATTATGATTAATTTTTGTAGTCAAAATCAAAACATAATCTAGGCACTTATATCAATTTCAAATTGAAATCAGGGCCAAGTAGAACATTATGAGCAATCAATTTTGGTTAAAAATTTACGGTGCCTACATGTTTTGCTACAACCATTTGTCCATTAGATAGTTTGGTGTTAATTGATACAATTTAGTTGTAATAATAAAAGAATCTCATGGATGGGAAAATGTGGTCTCTAGCACCACAATCAACTATCCACGATCCAAGGTTTGAATGATTAAAAGAGTATGAGATTTGAGCAATACCTGAAGTGTTATGCTTATTAGTGTGAGATACATGATTCATTTTGCTAATATAAGCATTTTTTTAGTCAAGTTTGATTCATGTAGTAAATGTACAAGTTGATCGTATTTCTCTCAAGTGAATCAATAGTTATCATTTCCTCTACAACTTTTGGAGTCATCAGCATCCCCCCTTTTTCATTCAACTCAAGAGAAGATTGGTTAGCCACAACAAGATTTTTTCCATAGTGTGGAGGAAAACCATATTTCCTATAGCTAGTGTCAACAATGTGGCCATTTCTTCCACAATGTGTACAAACTTTCTTTTCTTGCTGCCAGATGTGAATGAATAACCATCGCCACGACCTCTTTCTTGGGGTCAATGATAATCAACTGCATTAATGAGGATCTTGGATTCATCTGATACATAATTCTTGAATTTGCGTTCGTGTTGCATAATCATGGAAAATATCTTGTTTATGCTAGGCAAAAGATTCATGAGCACAATTTGAGAACGTACCAAATCAAAAGAATCATTCAATCCTTTAAGAAATTGAATTGAGCGAGTAATATCATGATGATGTTTTGCATTACTCAAACTTGTAATGCATACACATCAATGTCAACAAGAGCAAGTAGGAATAAGTATATATGCTTTAAGTTCTTCCCAAAGAAATTTCAAAGCAGTGTATAATTTTGAAACTGAGCGTGATTCTTGCTACAAATTGAAAATGTCGCAATGCAACTCAGAGATTTGAATGTAGTCACCTTATGAGAAGCGTTCTTTGATTTTGATCCAAACATCGATTGAATTTTCAAGGAAGAAGATGTTTTGAGTGATTGATTCTTTAACAGAGATCATAATCCACGAATGAACCATGTTATAATGATTCCACACTTTGAAGCCTAGGTTAAATTCTTCTAGAACTCGTATCGACCTTTCAACGAAATCAAACTTGTTATTGCCTCTAAGGGCACGTCTCATTGATCTTGTCCATGAGTGATAATTTTAATG